ACATCCAGTTTTATTTCTCACACAGCTCAGCAGCTTTAGAAATCAAGTAAGAATTCATACACAGCAAACGTTTTTCTTCTTTATCACGTGAACGTTGTATTGCTGGGTCCAGCCAACTCCACTGGGTTTGACCATACCAAAACATCTGCACTGAAAGAAGTCTGCAAGATTCTGGAAGCATCCAAGACTGAAAAATGAGAAATACTCATTAATAAACCTACAAAAGACAACAGCAGGCATTAACAATACGTGATCCCTAGGGAAGCAGTAGCTAAGGGATAAAGCTGTCGGCAAAGACAGCTCTAAGAGAAGAAACACAACAATGTTCTATTCATCATTACTCCTTTGTTGACATTTTTTAACCTGCGTCACATGTAATAGGGATAGAAGATCAACTCAAATATTTGCAGTTAACGCTAAGGAAGATTTCATCTGCTAGCACATGAGGAAATAAAGATTTTCAGTATAACAGGGAAACTTTGGTAGTAATTTCTTTATGAAGCTAAAAGAATTCAGAAAGGGCTGGTTCGTAACAAAGTTCCCCCCCTAGATCTAAAGAACAGACACAGAGAATGATGAATACACTCAAGGACATTGTCCCCCTGCCTCTCTCTTCCTCTTGGCATAGCTCAGTACAGGCGTGACCAGCGTGCCCACAGATGGCTCAGGTTTGGCATTCGTGCAGCAGTGAAGCAGGCCAGAACTGAAGGGAAACACAGCTGAAACACCGCACACTACAGCACTTACTTGTATGGATTTCTCCTGAGTGAAACAGGATGCTTAGAAGATTTGCTCTCCATCAGGAGGTTCATTCTCTCATGTGAGGTCAGTCCCAAGAATGCAGTCTTAGAGAAAGAAAAACACGAGTAACGGCTGAAATACGAACATGACAAATTTAAATACTGGCAATACCAAAAGATAATCTTTAATGGGGAGGGATTGGGAAGACGTTGGCCATATCTAACCACTAAGTAACTCCTGCCACATTTAGGGACTTAAAAGTTGATCTTAAGTTTCACTTAAGCCAAAAGAGAATCCTAAGCCATGTTAAACAGCTGTTTCTTAGGTGGTTCAGAAAGCTCTTAACCTCATTTGCTTCGCCAACACCTCCTGGAGAAGGACAAACTTGAAGAAATTTGACAGCCCTTATGGGGATGAAATTCAGGTCACGTTTTCATTGCGGCAACCTAATAACACACTGCTGAACTCTGCCGTGGAATTTCCAACTTGAGTTCGCAGGCCATTTTGGGACAGTAACAACAGCTTAGCTCAACCTTAGTTAAACACGTTAGTTAAACATGTTTCACAATCAGAAAGACCAACCCAATGGAAAGGGGACACAAGAGGTGCAATGACAGAGGGACCAGAGCAACAGAAAACAATCTTTTCCCCTTCCCTTATAACACCTCCCTCATCTCCACAGATCTAGGCTCACAGGGGAAAACTCCACCAGGGAGGGATCTCCAGAAAGAGCTCCTTCCCCAGGGGCAGTCAGCCCTTCATTGGGGTCTAAGAGAGGTGCAGCCAGGCTCCACCCCTTCCAGTCACACAGCTGAACTGCCTTCACCTGTGCTCCCAGGGCTGACCCAGTCCTTTCCCCAGGGGCTCCATCAGTGGCTCAGGCTGTGACTCAACAGTTCCCACACAACAGGCTAGAATTTTTGACAACACTGCCATTAGAATTCAGATATAGGAATGCTGTGCAGAATGGATCCCACTTTTAACATCAGAATAACAAGTGCACACGTACCTGTGAAAGTTGAAAGGACTGCTCTGAGGTTTAAGGGGAGCACCCAGATATGACGTCAGAATAGGAAAGCAGGTGCAATGCCTTTAAGGCAACACATCACTTAGGGAAACATGTTCATGTGGCAGCTCATGACGAGAGGAATGTGAACTGAAGCAAAATAACCCCTGGTAGAGCTGAATAGTTAGCCACAATGAAGCCCATACAGTATGGAGGCAGGCTAGCATGAAGATGTAGGACAGCCATGGAGAACAAGAAGTTATCTGCGTGAAGTACGTCCATGTCCATCTGCATGGTAACTTGTTATGCAGTGGTTTGACCAATCTGACAAGGTTCACAATCATTTCGTTACCTTTCTAACATTGACCACTCCTGCACTAAGCAAAGAATATTTGCACAAAGTGTTGCAGAGCAGTGTGCTCTCAAAACACCGCTTCCCACTCAAAACACTCACATGGATACGCCATGCTCGCTGCTCTCGTTGCACAACCTTTACTTTCTGTGTCCATAATCCACAGAGGGAACATTCCAACAGCTGGCTGGACACTTTGTTCTGTTTTTACATTAAAGTGAACTAGTGATATTGAAATAATAATTACCTCTCGTCGTCCAGCTTTCTGAAATTTTGCTGCACCCTAATTATTAGTTTTAGGATTTGTCTTAAACACCACCACCAACAAAAGAAGATTGTAACAGTGACAAGAAAGCAGTACTGTTCACACTATTAAACAAACAAACTGGAATATTCAGCTCCTGTAGATTTCTAAGAGATGCTCAAAGCCTATGACGTGTCTTAAAAAACACAAAACCAGTACAGGTTTTGCTGTTATGTCAGTACAGCAATCAAGTGGTTTTCCTCCCCTGTTCACGTGAACACGGAAAACAGAAAACACTGAACTTCTGCACACTTAAGACCACACTGAAACACAGGAAAGCAACTCACATTCACTCTGTGTCCACAATTGCCATACCTGGTTCATTTTACTCCAAGTAGAACACTGACTCATTTCTACAACACAGAACCCCAGAACAGCCTAGGCTGGAAGTGACCTTAAAGATCACTCAGTTCCAACTCCTGAGATGGGGATGGAACTAGACTGAGTTGCCCATTTGTGCAGTTATAATTAGTTATGCTAGCTAGGAATAAAAACCATACACAGGTCCATGACAGCTAAATTGAAGTAAGTTCACTGATACATACACAGAAGATAAAGCAGCCAGACACTGGTCACAGTTAAGGAAGGCAGGAACAACAGGTAGTAATGATGGTTCCCAACACCTACATTCGAGTCAAGGAAGAAGAAAAAAACCAGCATGACATCTTAAGAGTTTTGCAGTACTTGTATTTCTCCTCCACTTTACAGGAAAAAGAAGAATCTAAAGCACTTCCTACTATTACCTCTGCTGTCCTCAAGACATTTTGACAAAGCTGATCTCTCTCAACTTTCTCCTGTAAGCCATTTCAGTTTATATAATAGAATCAGTTCTGGTAAAGTCAGCCAGCATTTGTCTCTTCTTTAGAGCACATCCCTGTTAGCTGGACGGGGACTCATTATGCTAACACAGCTCTGCCCATGCACTGCACAGTTGTCTTGGAAGACTGAAAAATCTGTACTGTTCAATTTCATTGCTTCACCTTGATGTGTCCTAAAACTGCTAGCTCTTAAAAAAACAGATTTCTATCAGATAAGACTCTTGGGCAACTCTCAGTAACCCCTGCAGTCTCCACAGTGTGCTCTTGCATCAGGTTTGCTCTTTAAGTAGATAAATGTTATTTCTGCAACATCTCTTAAGGCATGAAATTTTCAGCTTTGATAAAGCAAAGACTCTTACCTGTGCACTGTGCAATCCACAGAGAATGCTGATCATATCTGGCTACACATGAATCACAAGGAACGCAGTGCACAGATCTCAAAGGCTTCCTTACCTGTTTGAGCACAAAGGAAAGGAATACAGTCAGAGTAAAAGCAGCTGCTTTGACCAAAGCTCAGAGCATCACCTCCTGGCACTAGCATATTTTATAACTATTAGTATATAGCAGGCCTCCAAAACAGAACACAGATGAGAAGTTTTCTAAATCTTACAAAAAAAAAGAAAGAAAAAGATGGAATTTCTATTGTTTTTTTTAAAGTAAGAATGAAACCCAACGATCTGAAAACTGCTTTGTGACCAGAAGTGAGAAAATGAAATCTAGCCCAGAACAAGCAGCGTATGGAGCACTCGCATGACAAGGAGAAAAACAGGTATTGTACTGAACTACTACTGACTGAAAAACAGGTTTCAAAAAAGCAAAGGAATATCAAAACCTTACTTACAAGACATGACGTGCAGAATGTTCTGAAGTCCAAGCACCCTGCTTCTGCTAGAGCTGCAATGTTCTGAAAGACAGAACAGTTTCTGCGTGCACTTGGATCACGTTTTATGGGACCTATGAAGATTTGTACGTGAGGCCTTTTGCAGACACTGAGCACTTGGAGTGCTGAGCAACAACACGTGGAAATACCTGTGGTTCTGGAACAGAGAAAAGGGCCACACGAAGGCAAGGACTCGTGCAACCTCACTCACATTGAATTATTTAGGAAAGCAGCCCTCCCCCACACAGTCAGCCAGACTTCAAAAGGGATGAGGACAGAAACTTTTTCAACACCATTGCAAAAAGACTGGTAAGTATTGCCTATCTTGCCCTGATAAGCACTCAGTGCTTCTTTGTGGGCACCAGATAGCCAATATTCACCAGTTCTGTGGCCACAATGTCAAAAAAGTTAAAATTGCAGTTTAATCTCCCTGGCAAGCAGGAGAAACATAACCATGTGGAGAACAAAAGGAGACTGTAAACCACACGGTGTCACAGTCACTAGCTTAAAGGAGCAAACAAGTAACCTCCTACTGACTGGTGGTGCATTTCCTTTTTCTGTCGTTGTAAAACACAGCGAGAAAATACTGAATATCTGAAGATGCTCATCATTGCTAGCCTTCAGTACGGACAACCTTAGGAAAGCACTGTACCTCCTTCTCACCAGAGACAGCTAGAACAAAAACCTTACAAGAGTGTTATTTATTAAGTGAAGTATCTGTGACTTTATGGTTTATAGGTTATAGCAAAGGCACCAGGCCATACCATGCTTGGCTGAAGCTCATATTCCAATGAGAGGACCGAGGCCAGGAAGCAACAGCAAGGAGCTGAAGATAAACCCACAGCAGGTTGGGTTTATCATCCAACAACCTACGCTGCTTGATGATACAACTAAAATCTCAAAGATACATTTCATGATAAATGAGTCAATCAGAAGTGCAACTATGGTGCAGTTTGTCAGCTTACCTCTTTTTTGTCTTTTTCTGAAGACTTAATATATCCAGGATCAGTCCTCCGGGCTTTATAGAAAAAATAAAGAAGACTCAGTAGGCTGAGCATGACAGGGATCTCAACAATGGCATTGGTCACATGTAACAGTTAGATTAAGGAATATGTTCTCTCATTACGTTTTGCCAAATAAATATTCTACAATCAGAGTGTGGTGTTTCACCAGCAAGACACAAAAACTAAAAGAATGGCGTTGACCTCTACAGAGCAAGTGTTTGATAGAAAGAGCAAAACATCACCTCACTAAGCCACAACCCTTAGGAATATTGCTGTGTTCATCATCTCCTGCAGAACGTCTACCTTTAACCCCTACAGTTAGAATTCTTGCTTTTGTTTAATTTAGACGACGCCAAGAAAACCTTAGAACGCCACAAAGCAACAGTTAACAGGATTTTCATGGCAACGACCATACATGTGTATCCCTCACAGGCATTGCATTATAGCTGGTTTTTTAAAAATTCACTCGGTATTCATTAAGCCTCTGTTAAAGCTGTGGAAAGTGAAAGTGCTGTTTCTGCATTGAACACTGAAAAGGGCAACTGATGTAAAGAATTAAGCTGTGACATACCCTTAGAAATAGCTAAATAGCTGATGTGGTAAGTAAGAACACCACATATATATTAGTAACATACTTAGAAACATATTTGTTAGGTGATTCGGTAACTACTTTCTCACAAAGCTGCAATAGATTTTGAACGCTCTAAGCAATATGGGTATAGTATTCTGAGCTAGGAAACACTGTAAGGTTGTTCATTAGACCAGCAGAAGCAAAATACATTTAACAAACTTTAAAGGAGTCGTGCCCTTTACACAAAGCAGAACTGTCCCACTTTGTGGGAATGTTAGGATGCCATAGGCAGGCTCCAAGATGCTCCCCTCTATCCTCCTTCCGAGCTTATCTCTATGCAAGGACAAATGAATGACCAGAACAATGACCCAGTGTGAAGGGGCACAAATGTTAGGGGGTAATTAAATAATGGAGGCTATGCCTACGTTTATGTTGTATAACTGACATCTGAAAAGTTACGAGCAAATGTTTGTTATGAAAGCAATTGTTAGAAGTCAATTAATCAATTAAGATATTTGTGTTTGGGCAGCAAAGATCTGTATCTACTTGGTGTTTGTATGATTGTGAAGCCTCGCGAAAGAGTGTGAACCTGCAGCACTCAGCCAGTGAGGAAGCAGTGGAGAAGGAGATCAGTAGTGGCAATAGGGACAAAAGACGTAACGCTGTTCCCTCGGGGCTCTCCTGCTTGCAGGAGGCCGCCACTGCAATTGTGAATAAAATCTGCTTTACCAGAGAAACCGTCCTAGAAAATTATTTGCATATTTCCAACAAAGCAAACCAAAATTGCCACTCAGAAGCATGCTTTAGCCAGATGCACAGAGGAACTCGTGATACAGAAAAACATCTACTGAGGAGTGTTCTGTGCAGCCTAATTTTACATATCCGAGCAGCTGCGCATTAGGTGAAAAGGACAAACTCTATTTATTGACACAACAGTATTGCCATTTCCAGGAACACAATTTAGTAACTGCTGTAAGAAATGGGAAATGTGCAAAACAGCTCAGGATACCACTAGGAGGTCTGGGGAACACAGAGGGTGGGAACGGTACATTGAAACTCATGCTATGTTGCAAATACAGAGGGAAAAGTTAAGATAAAGCACATTTATAAACTTCATAAATGGGTATCTCAGCTTCTGTCAGGTGCAGGCATTCAGTAACACCCTCTTTATCATTAAGACCAGCTAACATGCCACCTCAACACCTGTTTTCTCCTCAGATCTCAAGGATCAGAAACTACAATTTTGACCATCTAAAGACACCACATTTCAAAATCATTATGAAAAGTATATATATTTAAATCCTTCACACAATCCTTTCTACAGTACAGCAAAAAAAACCCAAACCAAAAAACCTTCTAAGTGAAGCTGCAGACTCTGAAAAGAACACTGCGTTATGTACCACGTACTGCATCTATTAGAATTAAATACACAGAAAGAGGGAAATCCACAAACCTCACAAACTGGGCCATCCCAACCAGCAGAAAGAGAAGCAGGCATCCTTTCAAAAGCCAAGAATCAGAACTCAAGTTCATTACGTATCCTATGGCCCACATCAGTCAAGCAAGATGCCAGCAGCAGGAACAGCTGTTAAAATGATCACTGTTAAAATATGACAGAATATTCAAGCAGGATTTATTCCAATATATACACTTAATATAAGAACGAATGCTGAGTGACTCAAGATTGGGAACAAAGTGACACATCAAAACACAGGGGATAAGGAGGGAGGGAAAACAACAACGGGGGGATGGAAAGGGGGGAACAAACACCCAAAGAACAGGAAGGTGCTTCTAAAACGTTTCATTTTTGAGTGTCCAGGTTTGGAAGCCTAGAAGATCCTGTTGTCAGAACGGAGGTAAGTTACAGATTATTCTGAACACGGAACGCTGAAGCTTTCCTTCCATTAGTGACATTACCTCGTATTTCTCCATCATTCTCAGTAACCTGTCATTCCTTCTGCTTCTCATTCTTCCTTCCTCCATTAACATATAAACGATGAAGCGATTCTGAGTTCGAATTGCAAGGTCAAGCGCTGTCTCTCCCTTTAACAACAAAGTTCATTTGGTTAGGCACTTAACACATCAATGTCTTCCTTTGTAACAGGCACAAGAAATGAACTGAACTAAAACAAGAACTTACTGGCCTCTTCCCCAAACCCACCATTTTTCTTTAGGGCAAAGTAAACTCGCAGTTCTAACACGCTTCATCTGGTGCTCTGTAGTTCTAAAGACTGATAGTTGCAATCAACTGCGTGCACACGAATCACTTGCTGAACTGTCTCTCCTAAGCTGAAACACTGAACAGCCTTTCAGAACATGACAAGCTTACTGAATATGATCCCTTACTGAAAGGGAGTTTTCTTGTTTATGTTAACTTTTTAAAACCAAACAGTAACATTCTAGGAGTCATATATTAAAAGAAAAGCAAAACAACTAGCAGATGGAAAAGCCGTGCAGCTGAACACACAAACCAGAATCACTGCACTATACAAGCATCTCTATGGGAATCAACAGTTTCAACGTTAATGGTTCTTCCTGCCAGATTTTACAAGTCTTAGGACTCAGACTTTCACGTGACGTGCACTTCTGAGTGTGAGCCCTTGAGAAAGGGCTCAGGATAGAGAACTGTCTGCAGAGGTCAGGGGACAAGCCGGCAAGATTTCTCAAATACGGCTGTGAAGGAGATCACAAGTTACCTTTCCAAACTGATTTTTCTAAAATGATGATTCAAGTCTCAGTACAACATTGTGGCTTTCTGAGCAGCAGTCACACGTGGCAGCTGGATAAAAAGTCTTCCACCGGCCTCTTGCAGACCCAAGCATGCCCTCTAAGCCTCTGGCCTCTGTCTCCTAATACCAGCTGCTTCATTCAGCGCTACTCCGAGCTCCCCCTTTCCAGGGCCACCCGGCCTCCGCCGCGAACCGGCACCGCAGAGCAGGGCCAAAAGCGAGCGGGGCGCCCACCGGCTGCACGGAGCGCGGCGCGGCGGTTCGCCTTCGAACTTCGCTGCCGGAACGCTCGCTTCCGGCCCAGAGAGAGAAGGAGCCAATCACCGCCGCGGCGGAACCGGAACTGCGGCGGTCACGCGATGCGTGACGGGAGGAAGGTGGAGATGGAAGGCAGGGCGGTGCCGCCGCGGCGGCATGTTAGGTGGGTCTCCGACTCCACCGCGGCGCCGGAGAGAGACGCAGAGCTAGGAAAGCACCCTTCAGCACCCACTGCAAGGCAGCAAGAGAGCGGCCCCCCCCACCTGGAAGGGCCAGATCCCGTGACTGCTGTAATGTACAGGGATAGGTACCTGGGATTGGGGCAGTGACACTTTAATAGAAGTGTCCTAGTTCCCCAAATCTTTGCCATATCCAAAAAGCAACAGCATTCATCCCGATTCGAGCTGCAGAGGAGATGGCTTGGCACCACTGGGGTTAGTAGAGGAAAATGTATATCCTGATATATTGGAAGTTTCTGTATGCAACAGGATGATAGACTACAGAATTGAATCCTGGGGCCAAAGGAGGAGTGTCCTAGTGGTCCTTGAAAGACTGTCTCCAGAGTCGGAAGTACCTTTATTATTATTTTAATAGATCAGACAGTGGACTTACTAAAATATAGATTTGTTGTGCTGGCTTCTTGCTGCAGTTTAACTTTTAAAATATCTGAAATACTGGTTAAAATATCTGGTTCTTTGAGCAAAACAGAGTCTTGGCAGGTAGCAAATCACAGCACCTGTCTTCTTTATAAGAATCTCAGGAAGCAGAGATTATGCAGTAAATTGCACAGTGCAGTGTTATATCAAACAAAACTTTTCTCAGAGATGGAACGTAGCCACAAGAAATTGAAAGGGGTATTGCGTGTAGCTCTAAGAACTTCTGCTAGAAATGGTGATGGAGTTACATTTACACATGCAAGGATATCTGATCCTGAAATTAAGGTCAGAAAAGTCATGTAGGCTATGAAGATTTCAAGGAACGCAAAGAATTCTGCCAGGGACAGTAAGTGTTAGGATAGAAACTTACGCATCAGTATGTGTGTAATAAGTGGAAGAATGTTAAGTGTTGACGTCTCTGATTAAATAAAGAGCAGTGTCACTGCTAGAAGTAGAGTTGTGCAAGCCTCTAAATGTTAATGTTCTAAATGTTCTCTTTCTTTTGTTCAGCTTAGCTAAAAATTCATCTTCTGGAAAGAAAATCAGGTGTATTTTTTTATTATAGTTGTTTGGATGCTGTAAGCAGGTGTAGGTAATAATGTTTGAAAGGAAAAACTATTCAATTCCAAAATGCTTTCTGTAATCTCTGATATAAAAACCTACGCAGCACTAATAAGAAAAATCTTTCTTTACAGTTTCTGTGCAGTGCTAGAAGGAAGTGAGAATGATAGGAGGTTTGTGTACTGTGCTTACTGCATCTGCTACATGCTTGATAACTGGTCAGGCATGGATATGAAAAAAGCTATAGACTATATTAGAAGAAGCATGGTGAGTATTCTCAGAAGTGTTCTTTCGTACAGAATTTGGAAGTTACTGGCTCTGTTTCAATAAGCTGCTAGATGTGTGGTTTTGTTTTACTGCCATATGTCATCACTGGCAAATAGATGGAGCAAGCATAGTTCACAGACTTTTTCCAATTCACACATATGCTTATTTGGATGAAGAATAACATGGCTGTTCAGAATCTTCATACAAAGTTTTTTAATTCCTTAGATTATTTTTTTCGCTAACTTATTCTCTTTAGTGGTACAGTGTCAAAACTCTGAGATGCAGTTCAGTACAGCTGAAGGTCACAGCAATTTCAGAGGGTAGTGATCAACAGCGCAGTCTGGTTGGAGACCTGTAGCTAGTGGAGTTCTTCAGGGGTCAATACTGGGCCCAGTCTTGTTTATGATCTTCCACTTTAATGCAGTTCTGATAACAGAGGAGAGAAAAAGAAAAATCTATTTTTATTGTCATTGGAATTGTCAGGCTTTATTCACATAATCTCTATTAGTTTGCTTCAGTTTTGGCTTTAATATTCAAAAGTCAGATTTATCACCAGTTTAAAAAGAATGTATATTCAGATGCTGAAATTTTGAATGACTTCAGCAAAAATGGACTCTTAAAATGCTCCAGTTCTTAAAGTTTCTTGTTTTACCTCAAATTTGGTAGAGATATTGAAAGAATTTTTATGTGTAACATTTGGTCTTTCTTTTCTTACATAATAGTGTCATCTGAAAATGCTTGTGTATAAATCTGTAGATATAATTTAATTATGATTTAATAGCTATT